TCCAGGCAACCAGGGCTCCATCATGCGTAACGGTGACTTGGGGAGACAGACGCCGTCACTCCGAATGTCTCCCTGCCTCCTCCTCCTTCCCCAGCTGTGTATGCTGAGCATGATGTCCCTTGGGTCATTGGGGTCAGCTGTCCCAGCTGTGTCCCCCCCAACTCCTTGTGCACCCCCAGCCTCCTCGCTGATGGTGTGGGGTGAGAGGCAGAAAAGACCTTGACTCTGTGTAAGCCCTGCTCGCCGATAACTGAAACATCCCTGAATTATCAATGCTGTTTCCAGCACAAATCCAAAACATAGCCCATACCAGCTACTAGGAAGAAAATGAACTCTATCCCAGCCCAAACCAGCACACGTGGTAATTCATAAGGACATGTCTATTTCTGTGTATAAAATAAAATGGTAAAGAGATTATGTGAAGCTTTGAAATTCTGAAATATTATTTCAGCTTGAAAAGTAGCATTTGCGCAATGTATAAGTAGTGACTTTGTTTTTTGAAGTTTAGAATATGGGATTGAAATCCTTGTCATAGTGTGTACTGCTGATATTTTCATGGGAGTTCTTATCAGAGGAGACATCTTAATGGTTTCATATCTCTTTATATGTTTTGGTATCATAGACCTGTCCAAATAAAACACTGTGATTGTTGGGTGAAAAAAAAAATATATATAATTATTTTTAAATAACCATGTAACTTGTATTGCCCCAGATCTTTACAGTGCTGAAACTTAAAATAGTTCCTCTAAGCTAACTTGGAAATAATTGCAACTTTTTTTTTGTGTTTCAGGGAAATGAGGCAAGCTACCCTTTGGAAATGTGCTCGCACTGTAAGTTTTTTTTAATTGCTACGTTATATTGTTAGAGAGGTTAATCTTATTTGGAGATTGATATGTACAACTTTCATGTATGAGGTTACTGAATTTACTGCTTGAAAAGTTATGCAGTTTATATACTAACCAAAAGACTAAAGTTAAAAGGTGAAAGATTACCTTTGGAAATAATATAACTTTTGCTGTTGGATTGTAAAATCAAAAATCAGTCCATCATTAAAAAAAAAAATCAAATTTTTTTTCCTATTAGAGTATGAAACAAACTTACAGTAGTTTTGACGTGTGTACAATGAAGTGTTATAACTGGTAGTTCAACTGGTGGGCCTTTTCCATCAGTCCCAGTGCAAGTTCCTGGGAGATGTGGAGTGGCTTGTGGTGCAGTATGGGCTAGGTCAGGAGTGCACTGTATTGCCTAAGCTGCATTTACACCCTCAGAGGAAAGAGAGGTTGAGGCTAAAAAAGCATTTTTTTCCTGCGTATAGTTGCAGCCAGGCATTTAGGTGAGAAGCCACTTGGTGGTGTTCGCTTTAGGCCACGTGAGCATAAAATTCATTCCCCTGTCTCATGGGGTTAGCCTACCCTGTAAAAATAGTGAAGTATTTCTTGCCTAAAGCTGACCAAAGAAAGGGTTGTCTTGTGAAATGTCGCTGTAGTGTTACGCTAAATGTACTTATTTTTCACTGCTTTTTTCCTTGAATGTTTTTCTTCAGTACTAAATCATGTGTAGACCTGTGTATGTGTGTATGGACTGCTTGATAAAATTCCTCATCTTTGGTGAATCAGGTCCTGTTTTTAAACAGAGTAATAAATCCTTCAAGATGGGGACAGTCTTCTAGATTGCTTTCACAATGCTAGTCATAACTGAACTCCAGCTCTCATAAGTCAAACGGTAATATGAAATAAGTAATCATAGAGGAATCTCTTTCTAAATACATTTTTCAGAGAAACTAGGCTTCAGCTAGTGATTTGCAAGTCCTCTATACCTAATGCACATGCCCACATGAATTAGAATGAGTCATCAGTTTGTAAACACTTGAGAGTCTTATCCACAGAACCGCATTGCTGTGTTATGCTCTCAGTGTATATTTGGTTATGTGAGTGGGAGTTTTGTATTTGATGAAGACTTCAGTAGTCTTTTCCTGAATCATGTATGTCGATCTTAGATTACTGCTCCATTGGTCAGTTTTTCGTGAGGGACAAACTGGCTTCTTGAAGATTTTTTTTTTTTTTTAAAAAAAACCTAGATATGTCTCTGATAGAGCTGTAAGCAGTGTGTTGCAATCCTTAACTGTTGATTCTGGAACAAGCTATATTCATTGGTAGCAACTGCCATCCTAAAGCTTTACTACTGAACTTGTTTGCCTCCTTTTATTGCAGAGAAAGAGAAGATTTCCGCATTATATTCTGTGATTAAACTGTATGTTGAGGATAGCGTTATGTAAATATGAGGTTTCACATGATTAAAGCTTTTTCTGCCTTGATGGTGGTTCTCGCAGTAGAGAGGAAGTCAGGTGCAAAGTAACTACATCTTCCCTAGCGTGTGTAGTTACCACAGACATCCCTTTGCTTGCTTGTGCCTCATCACTGCCATGATTGCACTGTGCCTAAAGATTTTTGCATGGCTGAGTACCCTGAAAGAGCAGGGATTTTGGGGGGCACAGATGTGTACAGTAGCGTGCCTGTGAATAACCACACTAAGTAGGTGTTCACCTTGTTCTTCAAATGTTAAATGTTGACGGTGCTTCCAAGCAGTTGTCACTGACAGGACAAAAGCTTTTTGGGCCAAGACCGGACAATGTTTTTGAAGATGGTTTGATAAGGATTTTGAATGGTTAGGTTTTTTGGGAGACTGTCAGTTAACGGTAATGTATTTATGCTATCTGCACGGTGGTATTGGGCCGTAACCTCTGCCTGGCACTGCAGTCGCTGTTTTGGTGTCTCGTTTTATAAGAATTACTTTGTTTTAAAGTTGGCAGTTAGAGGAAGCAAATTCAGGATGCTATGCAGAGGATGCACACCATTAAATAGTCGAGAATGTTCTTTGTACCCTTCATTTTAGAACATCAGCTCTTTTCAGTGGGTGAATTTGTGTTGTTGGATTTCTTAAAGTATGATTTTCTCTCAGCTGTGCTGTGTCTGAGAATTACTGAAAATCTAGTGCTGTTTTACATGGTGAAAATTTGAGGTCAGCCAAGCTATGTCAAATTGTCCATAAGAACATCTTTATCATAGCAAAATCTGTGAAGAAAACTACTTTATAGTATAATAAGCAATATTTTATAGTAGAAAATAGTTTATAGTATTTTATAGTACAAACAATATTTTATAGTATGTTTTGTTTTTAGGATGAGATTAGTATCTCTTCTCTAACTTGGGAAACTGTAATTGACACATCTGAAGTCATGAAAAGGATTAGGCCAGCTGTGTGTAAGCATATACAAGACAAGTGGTTGAATGTGTTCTCAAGGGCGTCATCTTTTTGAAATCTGATCTCCAAGACTGAAATGGCTGTCTTGGTGGCTAGTCTGAAATATTATATTCGTGAATCAGACAAGACTGTAGAGAGAGGTGAGAGCTTTTTGACGAAGGTCTGTTTTATTTTGAGATCTCTGCAATCCATTCTTATGGGGGGTGGGGGAGTATATATATATTTTTTAACCTGGAAACATTTAAAATAAATTTCAGAACAGATTTTAATTACCAAAAATCTTTTTCCTAATACCTTAGCAATAATCTTGTTTATAATGATCTCATATTGGAAAAATATGTGGAAACTAGGCTCTCTGTGACCACACTCTAGTCTGTTTTTTGTTAGTTATAACTTTGAGCCAGTATTTTTAAGAGTATCTGAAAAGCCAACCTTTTAAATACAGGTTTAAACATTTAGGTAAACACTTAGATTTCAGAAGTGCTCAGCACCTCTTTGCCCAGAGATACACAGTTTTTCTAATGTTTGTACGCTTTGCAGATGCCTGCATAAGTGTTGTGTACTCTGCAGCAATGGATGTACTGAATACAATACGTAAGCAATTATCCTGTTAAAATATCCCTGAATGTAGTGGATTTCAGCGAGATGTGTATTTCTAAGGCATTCTTTACTTTTGACTAGTAGGCAGCTAGCCATGTACCTTTATGTTGACTAGAAAAAAAAATATTAAAAACTTTTCTGAAATTACTTTTTTCAACGTAGAGCACACCGCACTCCAGAAATCTGCTTCTAGTGAAGCTTTTTGAGTTGCCACTTGAATGCTTTTTGCAATACTATCTGAGCATCAGTTGTGTGAATAACAGCTTGAAACAAACAACTGGTTTAAAACATAATGGGTCATCCTGTGCTGCTGTGTTGGGGGAAGGAGTGGGCATTCAGTAGTACGTATCAATATATTCGAGAGTGTCCACCAGGCAGATAAAGGTCCTTTACTAAAATGGGAGTTACACAAAATGTTTGCATGTGGTTTCTTGGAAGCATAGAGTCCTTGCATTTTAACCTGATCCATCCCATTTTTAGATGCATGCAAATGAATTCAAGATACTAAGCAGGTATCCATGGCTCTAGAATTTTAATGCCTGGATGGAAGAGGAATCTTGTGAAAATACTGGTAGTTCTTTAACAAAAAAATCCTTAATGCTGGAACTGCTTAAAAATCTTCACCTTGTTGTGTTCGTTACAAGCTGAATGAAATTAAAAATGGATTATGAAGTAAACAAATAATTGTTTGTACTTTAAAACAGTGAATAATTTCAGGGTGACCAGCAGAGCCTTTTAAAGAAAAACATTTAGCAATTATTTCCAGCCAGTTAGTAAGTTTGTAAGCTCAGGCATCAGCGCCAAGCTGATGGGATACTTTCCGATTCCGCTGAAAAGCATAGGAAGCGTTAGAGGCTCATGTCAGCTGGTGAGCAAAGCACAAAAAAGGCTAACTTGAGTTCAGGGGTAGAGGAACGCTCACTGTGGCCAGAGCTCAGGGACCGCTGTGATGAGTCACGGGCAAAAAATGCCTCAAATGATATAAACACAGCTTGATCCTCCTTATTTTGCTCAGTGATGTTAGCACCCTTTTTACACTATTGTGGACTTGGACCTCCTTGGATTTCCTGGTGTTTTCATCTCTGTCCCAGTCTCCTGAGCTTGCCTTGTAAAATTCTGTCTGCTGCTGCCACCATCAGTCCTTCCAGCTCAGAAACCTATGCAAATTTAAGACTTACACTATAATGCATTCATCCCTTATTTTATATTCTTATTTTATTTTTTAAAGCAATTTTATGAAGACAAAGATGTTACTGAATTTTTTTTAAAGTGTGTCAGCTTTTTAAATTTCAGCTGGTGGAAAGGACTTTAAAGGTAGGTGAGGTGCTTGCAATATATTTGAGGGAAAAATAATGAAATTGTTCTGATATGAAATTCTCATCCAGTCAGTTATGGAACACTGATCTGCAGATGTTGTGTTTATCTGTATGTTCATAATGAACAGAGGCTTTTATGCTCATGAACTGTTAAAGGAAATTTTCCTATTGCTGTAATTACTTTGACTTTTTCATTATTTCCTTCTCCAAGTACTCTCATCCATGGTGTGTCCATTGCCAGAAAAAAAAAACCCACAACATTGGATGAGATTGGTATTTGGTCAGCTTTTGGCAGAGATACTAATTTCTTTAGTACTGTTCTTTGACTTGTTTTTTTCCCCCAAAGTGTAGAACCTCTTCTCAAGATCTCTAGTGCAGGCAAACCCTTTGCTTGAGTGTTTCAAGGTTTGGAATGAGAAATTTGTAATCCCGTTTCTAGTAGGAACTGCTGCTAAACATCTGTGCCTGGCTTGTGTGTTGCGCTTGAACTGGAATTGACTGTATGAGCTGTGAAATTGGAAGTGTGTATATGTGGAGAAAGAGTACCATTTTCTGAGTACGAAGACTCTTCTTTAATTTCATAATTTAGGCTACAGTCCAGCAAAACACAAAAATTCTTGAGAAATATTCTTACATACCCTCCTACCTCTTCCCCTTCCCATCATATGATTCTTGTCTTTTATCATCCATAATCTTGACCTCCTCGACTACAATCTATAAAGAAAAGAATAAATTGATGCTTTATCTTCTCTTAATCATTGCTTAACATGAGGTTCTCATGTTAATAGCTTGCCGAGGTGCTGGCTTTGCAGTAAACTGTAGTGGGTCCGGTAACTCTCTGGCAGCAGGGCAGGGGGTGAGGGTAGATAGTGCCTACCATTTCAAAGAGTGACCACTCCATTTACAGTTTTAAGATTTTGAGGAGAATGGAAACCAAGGAGTTTATGTGGACAGGAGCAAGAGTAGACAAATACCTTCAGTATATTGGTGAGAAGAAGCATTTTGTGCTGGCAGAACTCATAAGCAGCTATTTGGGCTAATTGCTGGTGGAGCTCAGCTTTGCCATTCTCTGTTAATACCATCATCTTTTAGTCTCATGATTATGTTCTTATGCTTACCATATGGTAATATGGCTCCTTCCGTGTGATTCAGAGGGATGTTGACAGTAATGCGCTCTCGATGCTGCGGTGCAATGTCGTGCTGTTAAGAGCACACCTTCAATCAGGTTCTAGGCTTTCCTGTAAACTGCTGGAAAAGGGAACGCAGGTTTATTGCAGTCGGGAGCCTAATTAATTGAAATGCCAAATTGCGTACTGGAAACTGAGGAAACTAAGCCTCTGCAAATGCTGTGTCGGGAGTCTAATTAATTGAAATACCAGATTGCGTACTGGAAACTGTGAGGAAACTAAGCCTCTGCAAATGCTGTTTAGCCTTATTTTTATAACCGTAGAGGCAGAATCAGATCTGTCACTTGCTGGCACAGCAATAGGAAGATTGTTCTGGGCATATCGACCCTTTTTTTGCCCTCTGTCTCTGTAGTTGCAAGCAGTTACCAAGACTGACTACCTGCAGAATGTCAGAATTTGCTATTCAGGCAAAAGTAAGTCTTGACAGAAAACCATCTTGTACGTCTGGTGTGCTCTCCCTTTCGTTCCAGAATAGCGCAGTTGTGTATATCTCTGGATGTGTGTCTGGTTGGTTTCTAGACAAGGATATCAAGAGATTTAAGTGGAAGTTTGTTTCTACTTTGGTTACAGGATCAGCTCTCTGAATTAGCTACAATTTCCAAACATAGAGCTCTGCATGTTGGCTGACCTAACATACTGAAAAGACTAAGTGCTCATTGTTCTTAGGCTGCACTTCTACAGAAGCCTAAGAACGTATTAACATGATGTAAAGTGGATCAGGTGGTATGTATGTGCCTTGTCGAATTTAAGAAACGATTTCTTTTACTATTGGAGCAAATGCACTAAATGGAGCTAAGAAATGTTGAGGAGACTGTTCATGTTAGGAAAGAAGTTGGTATGGGGAGTTTGAATGCTTCAGGTTCTGCAAGATGTGTTTGCTGTCATTTGCTGTATGCTGGTCACTTTCTAGGACTTCCTAAGAACTTCGGTGCCTCCTTCATACCCAGACGGCGTGAGCAGTTTGTGAGCTAACTTTGGTCTCATAAATCAAGCTGCTGGTACGGATTTTTCAGATTGTTACAGGGAAAATTTTTCAAACTTTTCAGCAGTAAGAGAGTACAAGATTTCTTAGTGGTGTTTATGGATTCTACTGGCAAAATCAGAGATGTAAAGTAGGGTACTAGGTATATGCTTTAATTGAGATTCTTTTAAAAATTTGAAGAGGATAGATGATGTTGTACTGCTGCAGAAAGTGAATCTGCTTTAATTTTGGGGGGGGGGGGGGGATGTGTGCAGGTCATGGCTACAGGTATGTCTGTTTCCTGTTTAAGATGGAGAAAAAAAACTTATCTTAGGTCTGTCTTGGGGATGTTTTGAGTACGTGAGTGATAACTGGTCAACAGTGGGACTGTGTTAACCTGCTTAACTTGGCATTTATGCCAGGAGATCTCATGTTTGGTGTGCTGAAGAAGCACTAGTTTTGCTAATATCTTTACTAATATAATTGTCTTTCTAATGTGTTATGTTAGTCTAATGTAAATGTAATGCTAGCGCCTTCAAAGAAAACTCAGTCTCTAATTTCTTCATAGCTGGTATTTGTAAGAGCTGTCTGACTAAGAACTACCTAAGCATCCTCAATCCTTAGAAACGTTGTGTCAGCATGTGTTATGCAGTGAGTCACAAGGCTTAACTGTATTATGGCTGGTGCAGGGAGGAAAAAAGGTAAGGTTTATTTAAAATAAAATGAAGAGGCTTGTGTTTGTCTTGGGAATTTGGTGTTACCTTTATAATCTTCCCTGAGAATGTTTAATAGTTGCAATAAAGTAGGAGAAATTCTGGTAGGAAAGCAATGAAATGTGCATTGTGTGTTTAACTGGCAAATGTTTTACTGAAGCCTTTCTAAGGATAGGTGTGGGTTTTGTTTTTTTTTTCTTTCAGTTGATGCTGATGAGATAAAACGACTAGGAAAGAGATTTAAGAAGCTTGATTTGGACAACTCTGGTTCTTTGAGCGTGGAAGAGTTCATGTCTTTACCTGAATTGCAACAGAACCCATTGGTACAGCGAGTAATAGATATATTTGACACCGATGGAAATGGAGAAGTGGACTTCAAAGGTAAGACACAGTGCTGTGTAACAGGTGGTGGCCTTGTGTCAGAATTCCTGGAGCTTTAGAATTCACATTTTGCTTCAGCTGAGAAAGGAGGGATGAAGAAAACTTGTTAATCAAAATAAGGTGCTAATTCCTAGTGAAACTCAACACCAGTAAAACTAGTTTCTCTGGCGCATTAGGGCACTCCTGAATGAAATGCGTAAAAGAGCATATTGCTTAGTAATAGCTTTCCAGGTCCTACTCGTTTAGGACTATTCGTTAAGTATCTCTTAATGTACGCTAATTCAGAGTCTTAATTGTGGTGCTATCTGAAGTATATTCCTAGGCTGAAGAGACTGAAAAAAGTGGGGTAGACTGTGTAAGTGGTGTGTCTGCATAAGTTGTATTAATCCAAATGTTGTGAGATCTGTCTTTTGTTGGGGTATTTTGGAAATAATTTTCTACATTGTGAAAGTGGTCCAGAATTTTCTGTTGATACTTCCTTTACGGGATTCTTTTTAGATGGATCTTAGGTAGGCTCTTCAAGCAAAAACCAAAAGTTTTGATTTTGTACACTCCTCGAAAATTTTAGACTTATTTAAAATATTCATGATTAAAAGAGGCCAGCAGGTTAAAAATCTTCATTGCTAGTTGATGTTAAAACAGTCTAAGCCCCTTAAAAGTGATAATGTCTGTAAGTTCTGGTCAAGGTAATACTTACTGTCTCTTCTTGCTCATGACTGGAAAAGGTTAATTGGTGCTGGTTTGGTTTTTTTAATTGGAAAAGTTTTTAAATGTCATTTATATGAGACTTTCTTCTCTAACAACCCTAGTTACAGGATTTCATCCAGACACATCACATCCCAGGGTTGTTTGGTTTTTTTTGGCAACTCAGGAGTTTGCTCCTGGGATAATGACTTCATTGTTAAACAGCGTAAATTTTCTTTTTACCCTATTTCTTACCAAAAAATATTTTTTTTAGCAATTAGAGCAGTATTCAGTTTTAATGTAATTCTTGCTTTACGTTGAGAAACCAATCTTGAGAGGAACTACACAGACTCCCCACTGGAGTAGCTTTAGGAGAGATCGCGATGGAGTTTTATATCAGATTCTTGTGAAAGTCTAGCAATAAAATTACTTAAATACTGGCGTGAACAAGTCTGTTCAGTGAGCACAGTATTGGATGTGGAGTACTTCCCACTAAAGAACATTAAAAGTTTCAAAGTATGTGGACGCTTTGGTGTCACAAGGTAGGCAATATGTAAAGATTTTTAGATTCTTTTTACAATTTCTAAAAATTTCTGAATATTGATTTCCTTGGTTTATTAAAAAATACACTTTTTGGTAAATGTTTTTCTTGTATTCTTTAGAATTTATAGAAGGAGTTTCCCAGTTCAGTGTCAAAGGAGATAAGGAACAGAAGTTGAGGTGTAAGTATTTTGATCTTCCTTAACAAAAATTTTTTTGATTCTCAAACTAACTTTTGTTAGTTAACACTGAGTAATCAGTAAATCCAGATTCTTTTGAAAAGTGGGAAATAATGAAGGTAGATTATAAGCTTTTTGCACGCATTTGTCATTTGTGTGAAAAATTTGCCAGTGCTCTTTTCTGCAGGGAAGGTTTGAGGAGGAGATTGCCTTCTGAGTATCTTCAGTTGCTTCCCTTTTGAATAGAAAAATTCATTTAAGGATACTTAGTTCACAAAACTGTGTAGCAATGTGCTTTGCTTTATGGGAGCATAAGAAAAACACGAAATTTTTTGCTACTGCAGTAGAACAGCACTAAATTCTTGTTTGAGAACTGCATCTCAGGAACACAACATGACCCAAGCTTTTGGAGTGGGGAAGGGGTAGGCTCAGTCATGGATGTAGCTTTCAATAACTAAGACTGAAACGTTTAAAAATAAATTCAGTCTTAATGCCAGATTGTTTGCAGCAAAGTAACCAGGTGGGATTTTGATTCATCCCTTCCCTGGAAAGTTACAATTTTTTCTGCGTGCAAATGAGCTGCTACCTGGGTGCTTTATTTGTGGTGGTAAAGATTTTTCCATTTCAGTGTTTATAGAGTTCTTTTACTGCTGGTGCTTAAACAACTTCAATTGACATTTCTAAAGTGAGATTTTTTTCTTTTAAATTTGATAGTAGCACCATTCGTTGTATTGTTTCCAATGTTTCATGACTTTCAGGATGAAATGGAAAGGCTGTAAGAAATCTCACTTAAAATGCAGTATTTTTCTCAGCTTGTGCAGCATTGTGTCATCACTTATTGTAATGCAAAGCACGTGAATGTATATTGCTCTTTTCCGACCACATTTGTTACTGAAAGTTTTACACACACACACGTATATTTATTTTACTCCTGCAGTTGCTTTTCGCATTTATGATATGGACAAAGATGGTTATATCTCAAATGGAGAGCTCTTCCAGGTGCTGAAGATGATGGTTGGGAACAATCTCAAAGACACTCAGTTACAGCAAATTGTAGATAAAACCATAATTAATGCAGATAAGGATGGTGATGGAAGAATATCCTTTGAAGAATTCTGTGCTGTAAGTAACCTCTAAAGAAAATGTTGATAATTTGGAATTTAGAAAAAAAAGATGAAAAATAGTAAACAGTATGAAGGGTAAGATTATAAAAGCAGAGCGTTTCTTCTGATCTGGCAACAGTCACTCTTTGCCACAACTTTATTATGGATGGCATTTTTGTCTTGGGGCTTCTGGTAGAGCAATGTGTCTTAGGGCATATGAGGAGGTAATGAATCGGTTCCTTCGGGACGCAGACTTTCCCACCGAATCTAGTGTGCCTGAAGAAGATTGCTTTGCAAAGAGCACAGCAACTTTTACAAAGTAATTTCTATGTCGTTTTATGACATACTAAACACAAGACCAGTCCTAATTATGTTTGTACATAGACAAAAATGCTAGCCTGACGTGAAGACATGTATTGGATTCCAGTCTCTATGCTGGTAGAAAATAGCAGCTTTAAAGATGAGTTGCGAGTGACTGGCTTGTCGTAGGAGGCTGGTTTTCAACAGTTGATTAAAACAGAAACAGCAGTTTTAGTTGTTTTAAATGTCTCTAGCTGCTTAATGGAATACACGGAGTGAAAAAAAAAAATCAAAGCACGGTGGGCAGGCCTGTACAGTCTGCTGAGGCGGGGGGAAAAATGCTTCAAAGCACCTGAAAGCTGTCAACTCAGAGTACGTCACAGCAGATCTCTTTCAAAAAGTGTCAGTGTCAGGGGTGGAGGGGAGAGGTGTGTTCCACAGAGGTTAAATTCAGGTTAATCTCCCAGTCTCTAAACCGGTGTCTGCTCCAAATCGCCCTTGAGAAAGGTTTATCTTTGCGGAGTGTGGAGAGAGCCTGGGGAGATTATCCCTGTCTGCGGAACACAGGGATGTGAGGAAGGCCGGGGTAGGGGGAGTTGTGTCAGTTACGGGCAGTCATTTAAAGGTGCATTTAAAAAACTCGGGGTTTTACTCAGCAGAATGCTTCAATGTAGCAATTGAGACTTGAAATGGTAGATTTTCACCCGTGTCATATAGTTGTTTAAATAGTTGACAGTAAGTTTTAAATTCCTTCCCTTTAAAAAAAAAAAAGGTAAATGACACATTGAAACTTGAACATTTGAAAATGGCAGTAACGTGTGTTTACACATTAATTTAAAATGCTACCCAGGTGTATGTTCAATAATACACCACCGTTTGAGTCGATAGGCACTCAAGCATTGCTTTTGTTTCCTACTCTTTGAATTTACAACTGCAGTTCAAACATAACTTGTTCACACTTAGGATCAATGCAAGTTCTAAAAAAAGGGAATAAAAAAAAATAAATCTGCCCTCCCCCAAACTATTAAAGCAAAAAGGTTCTGTTGCCTGCATGTTATTTTGGTAGGGTTTAGTTAATGTTCTGGCATTGTGTGAAAATAAGTGGTCACCTGCAAAGAACTGGGAACGCGTTGCAGCCTGCAAACACCCAGATGAGTGAAAGAGCTGTTTATTTCTTGCACGGGGCTGTTGCTTCGCGGCCGTCCGTCAAATACGATGTTGTCGTTTGTCCTTGGGCTTCTGCCCAGGCTTCCTGTCTTGTACTGCTGTTTGGTTTTCCTCTTCCTTTCATTTAATTTCTTCAGTTGTTGTTGACCTCCTGACAAGACACCTTACATTCCCACAATCTCTTACCCTCCTGTTCTTGCATTTTACCTTCTTTGAATTTTGTGCCATTTATCTGCAAAAATACTTTCTTGTTCGTGGCATTTGGCCGTACCGTTCGGCCTTTGAATTTTAGTTCTGCATTATAAAAAGTTCCTCTGACATTGCACCTTTCCTTTTCCTTTCTCCATGCGTGAATCGTACACCTTTGAGCACCGGTAATTCTTTTTTGGGTGCGTGCAGTTTTGTCGGAAATCCTGCCACCTTTCCTACAGCCCATTGCTTCTCATGTAAAGACGCACAGTTTTACAGGGTGTTTCAGAAGTAAAGTTAGCATTTCATTTAACATCCAGAAACATAACTCAAGGTCAGAATATGAGCTGGGGGAGGACAGCCCAAAATGGTGTGATTTACACTGTTTTTCAGGCCCTTGAGTGTGTGAACTGTACTAATATAGTGACCTTGGTTCACACGTAATTCAGTCGTGTATCTCGCGGTACTTGTGAAATGTAAATTGGTTTGGAGAGGCCAGGGAAGTTCTGTGGTTATGGTGGACCTGAATGCATCTTCCGAATAAACTGTGTTCTCTGTGTCTTGCTAACTTGCAATTCTCATCTCTCTCCGAACGCTTATTTTTCTCCCAGGTTGTAGGAGGCCTAGATATCCACAAAAAGATGGTCGTAGATGTGTGACTCTGTAGGGCACCACCCAACACTTTTGCTTTCTTCTCCATCTCTGAAGATCTGCTCAAGACGTCCAGCAATGCTCTCTGTGTATTTAAATGGAAGTATTTTTCTCTGTGAAGCCACATTTTCCAACATGAGCCTCATGAAGCCAACTAAGTGTTATTGAACTTTTATTCTCTCAATAACTCAGTGTAGCACTTTAAAGTCTGAAGGACAGCAAAGATGGAAAGAGCATATCAGTGTGGTGGAGAAAGGGAAGGGGTTGGCTTTTTAATTTATTTTTCTTCATCTTTTATAACAAGGAAATATCTATCTATATATATGTGTGTGTGTATTTATATATAGATATATATGTAGCTTTCTATATGTAGTAGCTAGGTGGGCTTTAATTTAATATACTTGATTCAGAAACAAAACTAGAGTACAAAGTGCCAAGCAGAATATTAACAGTTCAATATATGGATATACATCCTTACTTTTATTTCACACAGTTTTATATATATAGTAGAAGAATGTAAAATTTTAACTGGGTGTTAGGTCAACTCTTTTTCTTTTCCTGTGACTGTTCAGATGTTTCTATATATTGACTGGCTGACAAAGCATTGCTTCTTAGTAATCCACCTTAATTGCATTTTTTTGTTTTTGTAACACAGGAGACTAAGTTTATTTATACCTGTTAATATATTACCAGGGACTGTGTCTCTTTGCTAAATAACTTAGTACAGTTCTACTTAATATGAGAATATAGTTTAATGCTACTGCCAAGAACTAGCCCTCGTGTGCGTACAGCAACTGCGGAATGCTTTGACGGCCGCTAGCTTTCGTCACCTGGGAACCGGGAGCAGTTACGGCTGTCCTGAAGTTACGGCACATCTGCTCTTCTGGGTTCAGCGTAGGTACGGCTGCTCCAGGTGTTAGACGCAGTCATGATTTTCTCTCACGCTTAGCTTAAGGAAATTAGGATCAATGCAACTGTGCAGGATTCCCATCTACTTATTTTATACAGTACTTGGATGATAAAATGTTCTTGCCATTGAAATTGTTGTTTCAACCATGATAGTTTCCCCTCTGCATTTAAAGAATACTACAGGTAGCATAAATAACTGGTAATATTTTATATATATATGTATATAGGATTCATACAGGGGGAAAATCTTGTTAACCTATGCCATAGAGGAGGAAAACTTCACACTATCTAAATTTATACCTCTTGCGGTTCTCCAGTCCTTTGCCTGGAGAGATTTTTTTTTTTCTCTTCTAGACTTGTCCATATCATAATTTGTAACGGATGGTAACTTGATATATTTGTGTGATATAAAAGTAGCGAGCCATGTTTTACAACTTTGTATCATCCCTTCCCTTTTCTGCAATGGTACTATTGGCTGGAAGAAAAACATTTGCTAGATTATTATTTTTTTTTTTAGGACAGTACATCTTTCCTGTATAGTAGGTTTTTCTATTAAAAAAAGGGTTTTATAATCAGGAGTGGGAAGTGCAGGTTGTCTGAACTGACGTCAGTCGAGCACCTGTCTGCCATAGCTGTTCCTTCAACTGAGTGCTGCACATCATGGGCTCTGTCTGTGAGAGAGAAATCCAGGTGCTTGGTGTCCTTGCATGACATGAAGTTTTGCATGTAGATCGATTTGAAATGTTCCTCTTGTTTACATAATTTGCATAATTTAAAAGATAATGTTGCCAAACTTTGGTAAATGTTAATGTTCAAAACAAAAATCTCCACTACGTGTAACTTCTTCCTCTGGATCAGTACGTGGTTTATAAATCCAGCCAGTGGTTGTATCTGTTCCAGTGTCAACTGCCATGTGCTCTGCTTCAAGGGGGAACTAGTCTTTTGTGAATTTTTTGTACATAAGTATTTGTTACAAACATTTTAGCAAATGCTTTCGATTTCTCTTACTTGCTTGTGCATATCTTGGCTGGCATTATAGAAATTAGTGCTAATGTTATTTCCTTAGGGGGACTGGAAGGGGAGGGATGAGGTTTTCTTTTTTTTTTTTTTTTTAGTTTGTGTGGGGAAAAATGATTTATGTTGAATGTTTTGTTTTTCCTCTGCATGCGACATCATATGTTGTGGGAACTATAAGAACCTTCATACTCTATGAATACAAAATAAAATATTTGAACCTTGGCTGGGCTGCTTCAGTGCTTCCCTTGACCTTTCCTGTTCGACTCTGAGCAGCTCTGCGCCCTGCTCTGAAGGAGAGAAAACTTTGCTGTTCGCAGGTTTTGCCCCCTCTTCTGATTATAAAGAAGTACGGAGAAGCTGTACAGGGTGCAGACAGTCCCTGGAATACTTCCAGGCTTCATTTCATTGTTTCAAGACCACTTGTGTGTTGGTATTTTTTTTTCCTTAAAGGCACATCTGAGTCTCTTTGCCAAATGTCCAAATGGGATAAATTACCGTGGTTTAGATCCTACTAATTCTGGTAAGTGGAAGGTGGATTAAAAAACCAAACCAAACCCTAACCTTAATGTAGGTGGGGAATGAAAGGCAGCTTCTCTTCCAAGGAAGGGTCTGAGACCTCTCCCTGCGGGTGCCCTCCCCTCCCCGGAGCAGGTACATCCTTTACGGAACGCTGTTCCTGCTGCCCTTTGTGGGGCAGTTGCTTGGGACTTCTGGGTGCTGCCTGCTCCCGTTGGTGTCGTACGCACCTGCTGTAGCAGAAAGATCAGATTGCTCCTCTGTGCCCTGGGCTCGCTCCCCCCTTGTCTTTCAAGCTAATTGAGATCAAGGACATAAATCGCCAACGAACAGAAAGTGTGCTAACGGGGGCGTACGTGGTTTTACCGTGAACGGACACGCTAACTCTGACTGATGAGAGCTCTGCATTGAGGTGACTCAGCAAGTCTTAGATCTCTTGGCAACTGAGGGCTCAAATGAATTTGGCTGTAATAACACTACTGCCAATAATCCCAGACTATAAAGTGCTGCTCTGGAAACGCAGACATTGAGAGAAATGCTTATTGCTCAATTTGCTAGTGCTTTTGATAATCTCATTTTGGTTTTTGTTTCATTCATAAATTACTTTGCAAGAGACTTGGTGACAAGTTTGGCTGGCAGGGTCAGGAGGAAGGGGCCCGCGTTTAAGTCAAACTGGGCCTGGGCCTGGTCTCCATCCTCTCCCGTTGCCCTGTGGCATCCAGGTTGCATTTTAAGGAGACACAGCCCTCACGGTTCTTTGGGCTCTGGAGCACTGGCAAGTACTTAACCTGGCTGCTCTTAGCTTCACTCGGCTGCCCTGACAGATCGTTTTCAAGAGAATAAAAACAATCTATACAGGTGGATTCTAGGATGAAGTCAAAGTATGCTATTTACCTTTGTTGTCTTACTGTTTCTGTGATGGGTTGTTCATCAGTTGCAGAGACTCCTCGGGCAGCTGCCACTGAACTCTGCATTCCAGTTGACGACTCCTTTTTCCAGGAAGGTACTGAATGTGATGGGTTAGGCTGTGTAACTGCCGATTCCTTTAGGCTCAAAACATTAAACTCAAAGCCTTCCTGAAGTTCTGACAGCAGTCTCTTAATGCTTTGATGTTCCGCAGTCAGTAACAAAGCACCTTTTTGTTTGAGGATAAGTTTAAGTAAAATTGGGTACCTGTACTTCTGATAGAGACACAACCAATTTAAAATAACTTTTAATGACTGTACAGAAATATTAAGTGTGTTCAAACCAGACAGCGTGTCTGAAGGAAATCGGACCGCACAAACAGCCCTGGTTTTCTTCTGGGCTTCCAAATGCAGCAGAAGGGCGAGGGCTGCTGTGGCTCCGGGCCTCTCGCAGGTGCAGAAGCCAGGGCTTCCCAGCCCCAGTCCGTGGTGGTGCGGCTGCCCTGCAGCTCACAATCTTTCGGCTGCTCTGCTGGCCACTGCCCGAATGTTGCCGTAAACTTTGGAGGGGGGACTTCCTGCAGGAGAAAGCACAAATTCGGTCAGCAAACACGGTAACATGTATGTCCCAGGAACAGATGTTTGGCTCTCGTGTCTGTGTTAAAAGTGGAGAAATAAGGTGATGGGCAGGGTTGGGCATCTTGTCCGCTACCGCAAGGGCAGAGTTAAAACTGCTGCTGGTGGGGTGAGCTGCCCCCTTTGGGGTGCCGGGCAGGGCATTCAGAACGGCCCCTCCGGGAATGCCGCAGCTACATCAAAAACCAGAAAAATCTTCTTTCTGCACCATGGAGAGGGTTCTGGAGCCAGAAACCAAGCCCTGGGTGCCCTGCTTCTTCCCCAAACCCTTCTCTTAAGGGCAACAGGACAACTCCCAGCAGGCTGCCTGCTGCAGAGGCAGGGGCGGACACACCAGGGGGGAAGGTAGGACCCACAGAAAGTCGCTTCTCAAACCGTGAGATCTATTTATATGTAAGGGAGAAGATCAGATAATGGAACTTACCTAAAATTAGATTGCAAATTGCTGTTCGTGCCATTTTAATGTTCTGAAAAGATCCCAAAATATGAATTTTCCTGTAAAAAGCAGTCAAAGTAGCATTAGTTAATGGAAAAAACCCTCTGTGATTACGTAGTTAATAGAGTTGGAGGTTAGAGATGAAAATGAAATTTCAGATCAGTGTACTAGGTCCTTTTCTGCACTTGTAAATAAAAAACCCCAAACCCAGAAAACGTACAACATAAAACCTGTCCTCTTCTGAATCTTTTTTAAAAGAACTGTTACCATGTGCCAATGTAACAGTGTAGAAGTTTTAGGAAGAAAACATTGTTGGTGGGTTGAGCTTTGATTCTCTGTAAGCAGGAGTTCTTACACCCCGGGGAATTGCTGTTTGCAGTGCGCCGGTAACATCGTCATCGTTCTCATAACAAAAGGTCAAATAAATACTCAGCGTTCATTAAAAATAGCACTTAAATCATTTGTCTTCCTACTGCTCTACAAATGTTTCAAAAAACTCAAGTTATCTTTGCTCCTGGAACAGGACAGGGATTAGTTTAGGGATTGTGCTCTGCCTAGAAGGAAGGAAGTCAATACTTACGCGTCGGCGAGAACGATTCGTGTCCTGGTTACGTTTTCTATAGTGAATTTTGTTTTTCCGCCTTTCCCTGCTATTCTCCCTATTGCTCTTGACAGATGATCTCCTTTCAAAGGTTTGACTAAAACGAGAGTTAACACGCTCAGTGTAACGGCAGCGGTGTGCGTTTCTGTAAGGCTTCCTTGGTTAAGTTACTGGAAACAACAACTCCCAAGTAAGACGAAAGCAGCTTTACTGGGATGAATACAGATACGTGTGTATTTCACCTTCTGCGACGAGAAGGGAAAATCCCATCCGGCGTTACGTGACCGTGAGGTCTCTGGCAGCCGAGAGAAATTCTCGGGCAGCAGCGCCAGGGAAGGCATTCCCTTCGTTAGCGAGCAATTCAGAGCGAGCACAGAAGCAGCCCAAGTGCGCCCAATTAACGCCAGTAGAAATGAAGTCGATCAGATTTGGATGCTGCTCTGAAGGGGACTCCAGAGAGTCCCAGTAACACATGATGTAACAGATGTTTCTGCCCCTACTTCCCACCCCTCGCCGTCAAAGCCCATTCTGGTTTAAACATCTAACGGGTGTGTTCCCCAAACCACTCCCTCTCACCTTCAAGTTTAAAACAATGTTTACTCAGTGACAAGAAAAATCAAGTCACTTTGACAAAGTGACACGCTTTTAAGGATGAAGGTTTGGGGGTTTTGTTGGGACCTCTTAGGAAAATGACAACCCTTTGAAGCCGCCTGTACCTGGACGATAATTCTGTGTAATAGCATGAAAGTCTTCCCCATCCCTGAGGCTAAGTGACACAAGTGGAGCAGGGGGAAAGAAACAAAAGAACGTCCTTGCAGATGGTACACACAACTACTTGCATGCTGCCGCAGAAACTACTCACCATCTGTAACTTCAAATGATTCTAGAAAAAGATCATCTAATCTGATGAGAGCAAGAGCATCCTAAAATATTAAGAGATTTGTTATCAGCATGGGTGTTACAGTGCCACGACAGAGTTGAAAGCTGATGTTTCCTTTACGTGTACAACAGGCGCCACCGGTAGTTATTTCTCCACTTACCACACCAAACAACAGTCAGTCAGCTAAAGTTAGACCGACTGCTTCTTCAGTAGCAATACAAATTTTTATTTCAAAGTAGAGAACCCTACACCAGCTCAGGCCCCCCCGGCCCCCTGGAGTCAGTGCAGGTCTGTGGCAACGAGCAGCCCGTACCGTACTGCAAAAAGTGGTGCTGTTTTCTCCAAGCAGAGTTTGAGTTTGGAAGGGACTGAAGGTTATTGGCTTGGACTAAAGCCGAATGAGCGGTCTCTGCACACGCAGAGCACCTCAGAGCCAGATTACTGCTTCGTGCTTGCCTCTCACGTACAGCTAAAGATGTCCTCCATTTCATAACTTTAATTATGCGCTGTTGGAAGGTTACTTTGTTATCCTGCATTACCATAAGAAAATAGACTTCCACTCCAGTCACAATTTCAAACACATTTATTTCTAGAAACCCACCTAAGGATTTTTGTTTCTTTCTTACTGTAGTTTGCAGAGAGGCCCAACACATCATGCAAGCAAATTCAAGCAATCTCACCATCTAGCTGTTGGGAGACTCACCTCGACTTGAAACCCAAGTATAAATGCTTTCACAAAATCAGCTGCTTTCGTTAGAGCACTGAGATCCTTTGTCTCTTGGCAAGTCTGCAAGACAAGAAGTTCCATTTGCAAATTAAGACCATGCAAGTAGGATCAGGATGTGAAAAATCTAAAAGATAGGGTCTAACTGTGAAAAAGCCACATTCAGGTAATGCTCCGATACCGTGTTTTCCTGAAAGACCCCAATCTTAACACTCTCTGCTTTTTTCTAATGTTGACCCTCAACAAACAGGAGTGCATCAACTACCCCAGCCTGCGTCTGGAGGGGAGGGAAGGCAGAGGCTGCTGGACATCCCCACCGCCCCTGACTGAGGAGAACCCTTTTCATGGAAAAAACCCAAACCAAACAACGCAAACTGAACTGCAACACAGAACAGCAGAAAAACAGAGAAGGGTGAATGCAGGAGACAGCTTGAGGAGGGACGGTTATCTTAGTGACAAAAGATGCTTTAGCAGGTGAATAGAAACCCTGACAGGTTCAATAAAACGTATGGGCTGGGAAAGGTTAGCAAGGTGTTTGGAACAGGGACAGATCCACCTCCCAAAGCAGCAAGTGTTTTATACTTTTGGTTTTTTCCCCCAGCCAGTAGAGGCCACAGGATTTGCTGCCAGGGGCATTTTTTCAGTTCATGTTCTAAAACTGGGCCAAAGCATTCCTCTGCCACCAGTGGGAACGAACGTCTGTGCACACCTGCGTTTACAGATCCCAAGAGGGACGACTTAGAAAAGCGCAGTCTTTGAAGCTGTGAGAAATGAAAAGCAGGAAACAATAATTCAGGGTGGTAATTATGTTAAGGGCTGGAACACATAAAAGGTATTCCGAAATGTCATTTACAGCTTCCACGCCACGTCAGAGAAATGACAGAAACCCCCTGCAAAGTTTTCAATCGTTTTATATTCGTGATAGATATGGGCAAAAAGAAAGTGGCTTGGTAAAGAACACCACTACCTTGCTCTTCAACCAGACACCACTTCCTATCAAAAAGCAGTGTTAAAATCCCAGGTTTTTCACCTGCGCAGTTCCTGCTCTTCCCTGCCTGTTCCTTCACCTTATTTCTAGGAAGTCTAAATAAGGGGCAGCTCTGGCATCTTCCCTCCACTTGCTACCATCAAACGTATGGGAAGGTTTCAAGGTTAGGAAGCAAAATTACTGTTGGTGTCTGGATTTTCGCTATTACAGTAGAAGATCTCATACATCAACGTTGCTACCACAGTAAGTCGTAGGTCAGAGGCGTGGCACAAGCTTTGGATTACTCTTAGAAACCGCTCGCCTGAATATCCCCGAGAAGGAAGAAGAATGAAGAACGAGCATCTACAAGACTGACGATTATGTATCGGTACTTGTACCCTAAGTTGTTTCAGTGCAGTCCATTAAAGAAAAATCACAGCTCTTAAACTACAGGCCCTCATCTTCTGCCCCAAAAAGATAACGGAAGATTCCGTGGTCCCCTCAAAAGACACCGTTAACTCAAAATTGTCACACAAGCACTTGGTAGTCTTAAATACCTGGAAAACACTGCATTCCAAAAGTGCACCTAACACACAGACCAAGATGCTTCCTTAATTCTCAAGTATGTAATGTTCTTCTACAAAAACTGAAAAAAAACCCAAACCCAAACCACCAGCTTACGCTGGCCCCTTCCAGAGGAGATTAACACTTTTAAATTTTACTTGCATTAACTACCTGCTTCTAAGCTGTAACTGACAGATCGTATTTTGATCCCCAGCGAGGGTTTTCTGGTCAGGTGAAACCACGCCGTCCCCAAGCGCTGCCGGGGCTCCGAACGCCTCCAGGCTTGGCAGGAGAAGCCCTGGGGGGAGAGGGGCGGCGTTGCCGGGAAAGCCGTGGGATCTCTCCTTACCTTGATTTCCACGTTTCTTGTTTTCAAATTAAACCTGATTTGAAGCTGCAAGTGCTCCACGATGGGCGTGAATATTTTCATCCAGTTCTCTTTTAACGGCGTGTACCTGTTGGCCGGCACGGGAACCTTCCTCATTTCGCCTTTTCCAACCTAGTGCGGGGGGCGGAGAGAGAGAGAGAAGGCCGTGAAGGAAGGGAGGGAAGGGAAGGCCGGGGAGGAAGGGAAGG